CACCCGTCTTCTATTCGCTGCAGTAAATGAGGTCTAGTATCTATTGGAGTAGAGTAAACTTTTCAGATAGGTCACCCCAAATATAGTCCAGGGGGTCTTGATCTGGCGATCTGGCTGGCCAAGACACTGGACACTCTGCACCATTATGGTTGACATTGGCATTTGGTCTTCTACCTATCCATCACCCGATATAATTTTCATTAAGCCATTCTTGTATTATTCTCCTAAAATGCGCAGGAGCACCATCCATTTGTACCCAGCTATTTTGTCGTATATTTAATGGAACATCCTCTAATAATTCAAATAGATGGTTTTCTAGAAAATTTAGAAATTACTGGGAATTTAGATGGGGTGGCAAGAAGAAAGGTCCACAAACTTTATTGCGAATTATTCCGAGCCATACTTTCACAAAAAATTCCTGTTGAAAAGATCTTGTCCGAATTTCATGAGGATTTTCTTGTGACCAAGTATCCAGATTGTGAAAATTCACTACCCCTCGCCTTGCGAACGTAGCCTTATCGGTCCAAAGTATTTTTAGTAAGAATTCAAACAACCCGGAAGTAAATTTTGCACAGGTTGTAAATGGTACGGATTTCTGCCATCCGTACGTAGAACTTTTCGAATTTTCGATTTACTCACCCCAAGTTGCCGAGACGTTCTTCGTGTACTTAGTCGAGGATCGTCGTCAAATGCTTTTAAAATTTCATTTCTGTGCCTTTAATTGCTTCGTCGTGATTTTCCAAATATTGTTTTAAGCCAAAAAGATGAAAGCGATGAGTGTAAAGAATTTTGTTGATGTGTTTACAAATTGCACTTACATTTAAGCATAAACAAATATTCTTGTATTGGTATGAATAACTTGAGGACGGTGAACTTTAGGGAAAAAATTACCATTTAAAAAATGCAGTGGCGTAGTTTTTTTTTTATAAAAAAGAGGGTGACCCTGTCCAGTTGTACACCACTGGTTGAATCTTTAGAGCTCATATTTTAGGGAATACAAGGCCTACTATCATTCATTATCTGTACTAAATTTTATTGAAATCGGTGAATCGATTCCGGAGATATATACAAAAAATCATTTTTTTTAACAACTTCAACACCCTGTATCTCTAAAACGAGGCCATTCCAGACCTATGTTTATAAAGCAAACACCTACTATTTTAAAGAGATCTATCTGCCCTCGAAGTTACCTGCATAAAATTCGGACCACTCTGTATAGTTGATGTCTAAAAAAAAAAAATCAGGAAACCCAAGACATCAAATTTTTAATCTTCATTCATTTATTTTAATAAAAAAGTTATGCAGTTAAAAAAGACGTAAATTTTTTTATATTTATTATTTTATTCTGTTTGATTGTCCCCATCACCTTGGATACGATCCTGCTTCTATAACAGTGAATACAATTTTTCATTTTCTCAAATATGTATAATTATTTCAAATATAGGTCGGTATTTATTCTTTCATTGTTGAACTTGTTTTGTTGATTTATATTTTTTCATGTATCCTCATAAAGCCACTATTTTACCATCTCTAGTGCTTTGTAAATATGCAAAAGAGCAAGGGTAACATTTTGTACATAAAAAATCTGTAACATTTGTTGTTAGATAGTATTTGATTTATGTTTCTTCATGTAAAATGTCATTAATCCAGCTCAGTACGGAATTGGGTGCCAACTTATCGTCATAACATACGTAGGCGCTTGTAGTGATCAATAAATCATTTAAATTACAATAAATCAATAAATTTAAAAATTCCTAAGGTACTTTGCACACAATTTTGCATACTCATACATGCACTTTTATTGCCTGTTAATAACAAGTTATAAATAACTCTCAAAGCTATTTTCAAGCACTTTCATGCAATTTAAAATAAGCACAAGGTCTTTTAAAAAAACATATGTCCTATTATTAGCTCTCACAAGTCTTTACTATTTTTTAAAGGTACTGAGCTAATTCAAATTCAAAAAATTCAAAAAATATATCAAATTAAGTCATATAATGTTTTTGACACTGGAAATCTAGGTATACGAAAGATATTCAACTTCACAGACAATTGCTAACTGATATTGCGGGAAACGACTACTCTATGGGCCATATGCCCCATTACACCAATCTAATATTCAATAAACAATTAGTAAAAAATAATTATCCAAAACAAAATCTAAAAATGATATGTCTAAATATAATAGGTCGTATCGGAAATAAAAAAAAGCATTTTGCAGCTCTAAGATTCTAGTTATTAAATTTTCAAATTTTTAAAATAAATTTAAATTTTAATAACAATATCGGATTTAATTAATTAGGGCAATCTAATCGATTTGTAGATTTATTTTTACAATTTGTGATATTGTAATTTTATATCCTGATACAATTAACAGGGGCGGCCTTAACCATTGCTAGGCTCCGGGAGGCAGATTTTGCTAGGCCCCGGGCGGCAGATCTTTACGAGTCCCCGGGCGGCAGATCTTTGCGGGGCCCTTGTTGTTTGTGAAATGTACGTAAATGGAATGTAAGAGTAGATATTTCTGATGATTTAAGTGAAATGCAAGTTATAAATTTTGGTTTTCAAATATTAAGCGATTTTTAAAAGTTAACAAATACACAGACGACAAATTTTTCATAATGATAAAATTAAAAGATTCAAACATATTTTTACAGGATTTTATGTAACTTGCCTTGTTAGTATGGGTCAAATCTTGCAACTGAATTTTAAACCAGTTATCCCCAACCGATTGAGCTGAAATTTTGCATACACGTTTAGTTTGGATTTGGTTAGCTGAGTGACGTCATTCTAAATCCAATATGCCGGACTCCCAAAGATGGGGGACCAGTTATTTTTTATGCACCCCTATGATATGGGTATCAAATGTAACGTTTTGCCGAGAAGAATACGAAAATAAAATGACGACACTAAAAGCTTGTTTTTAAAAAATATATATACATGAACTTATTCAATGATGTTTTACAGTCAAATTATAAAAAATATTATTATCCTCTGATAATTAATTGATATGATATTGATGTCGATCATTAAATAAATCTAAATGAGAAATATTATTTAGGCACCTGTTACTACTTATTAAGTATTAATATATTTACTATGAATCAACAAACTTTATTTTATAGTCATATACCTATATAACTAATAGCTAAGGATAAAATAAAGTTTAACCTTTTTTTACGCGGGTTGTTGAGCGAGCCCCGGGCTATTGCCTTGCTCGCCACCCCCTAAGGCCGTCTCTGACCGTCTGTTAATGTTTAAATAGTTTTGGAATTAAATGATTATTAATATATTTTTTCAGTGAACCTACCAACAAACTGTAGGAAGTGTCTTATTATACAAAATATTATTTACGTCTAAAATACTTCCTGGTATAATATGCATCCAGTTTCTATTTGCTTTTCGTAGGTAATGTTGTTTAGGTAGGTACACATTAGTGCACTTTCTTCTTTCCTTTTTGCTACTTACTAAAACATAAACCGAAAATAACTGGTTTAAAATTCAATAAGTATATATTTTTTTATAAATAAATCTGTTTCAATAATTCTAATAGACTGTATGACTGAATTTCATTATAAATACTAATACAAATAACATTAACAACTTAACTGATCTTATAAACATCTTCAAATATTGATTGGAAAATAGAAATTATATCTGTTGAAAAACATATATTTATCTTCACTATTGATCTTTCTGGACGGATAGATGAATGGAAAACAGTATCATTAATTTTCATTATCTTTTATTTCCTTTTACCATGTTTCAGAAGCTATCACATAACAATAATATCTACTATTCTATAGGGTTATTATCCACAGATGTAACCTGACTGGGCAGATTGTTAATAGGTAGGTCAACGACAAAACGATTATTTTTTATTTTTATAATCGTGTTCTTGGCATGGTCCAAAAGTTAGAAACAATAAATTTGATAACAGATTTGTAAAAGTAAGTAACGATATACGAGAACTTCGAAAAGATTCTACAAGTAGATATTTTTCAAGGAAGAATAATTTATTAACATTTGATATAAGTAATATAAAAATGTATTTATTGATTAAGTTAAATGTAATATTAAGATTCATGGAGGTACATATGTTAAACTTGTTTTACCCCTTTATCAATTTTAAAGTTTATGTTCAAAAGTGGAAAGAAGGTACAATATTTGTAGTAAATCTTTAATAAAACTCTCAAGAATTAAATAGAGAAAATTATGTTATAAATTTTGAGGGGTTTTTCGAATATAAGCAATAAAAAAAATGGCAATTTTTATTTTGTTTATTTTTTACGTATGAGTAAATACATAGTGCTGAAACAGGCTTTGACTTTTACGATTTACAAAATAAGAAGGGACTACAGTTTGAAATATGTATTAGTTTTAAGTACCTATATGTAAAAAGTTACTATTTAAAAGAATTCAAATCACGTTAGATTGTACCCCTATAGGTAGGTACTTAATAAAAATACCTATACAAAATATTTTATTAACTTACAATAGTTTTGTTTTTGAGTTTTAAAAGGTAGGTTGTGATAAATAAACCAAATATCTCTGTGTTCACTTTTGTTTAATTGACGTAAAAATTGAATATCACAGGAAATTGTATATTAGATTAAATTGCATATCTGTAGGTACCTAATCTAAACATATGTTTTTTTTTTTAATTTGCAGTCACTAATTTAATATGGATTTATTTTTTAAATTATTGAGGTCTAAATAAACATTTTATTTATGTTAACAAAACAATTACGAAGTATTACAATAGCTGTTGTATGATTAAATGACCAAATGTTATAGCTAGAGTAGCAGGCAGCAAGGTCATAAATTTTATATACAATAGTTATTAATTAATTTAAATTAATATAAAGTACACACATAACTGAAGTCGTGTAATTAAATATTAGTATTTCAGCAAAAACTAGAAGCATGTTAATTCATTATATATAATATATTTACTACTATATAGACACTAACACAAAAGGAAATTATTGATTACCTACCTTTGAAAATATCAAATAGTATAAATTTCACCACAAGAACTCACCTAGCTTTAAATTGACTTAGATACGGTTGCAGATACGATGATATTTACACTTTAGAGATATTTAGTGTGGATTATTATTTATTATTCAAACTTAATCTTTCGTGCTACAATAGGTTGACACATCCACAAATCCCTACTAATATTGAAAAACTGAGTTGAAATCGCTTAAAAAACGTGTTTACAGCTGACGATTTAACAGGTAACAGAATACTTTCAGTAGCAAATGTTAATTAATAATTTAGGACGCTAGATGGAAGCAGTAGAAATAAGTTGGTATTATTAATTAAACATAGTACCGTTAGATGTAGCACCATATTTAAATGTGTTGAAATAGTTTGTGGTACGGAGGACATCTATGTACCTAATTGTCTTAGCTCACAACTAAAATAATCAACATTAGGTTCAAAATTTGCATTTCGTATCTACCTATTTAAGTAGTAGGTATTTACATATTGATGTTTTTTTGTATATTTCATATTTTTCAAATATACAGAAATACTAATTGTAAATTGAGAATTTGAAATATTTTTACAAAAACAAGATGGATGTGTTCATACTAAGAGAGAATCTTTGAAATAATATGTCAACTAAATATAGATAATAGATATACAGGGTGAGTCAGAAAGAATGGGTCAACAATAAACTGGAGATACTAGACACCAAAATATTATGTTTGAGCTCATCATGCATTATACGAATGTCGCTGGTTTAAGAAATACAGGGTGTTCAAAGTTTAAATTTTATTCTGATATTTCTCAATAATTCAGAAAGTTTTGATAGCATGACTCTGAAAATTGGTAGTGTTGGGTTTTTTGGTGTGAGAATTACGAATTTGAAGCTTATTTTGACGTTGCTCCTAGAGGGCGCTTGTTTCAACGTATTATTTATATAAATCAGAACAAATTTTTTGTATCTGTTGAGCTATGCTTAAAAAAGCTAAAAATCTAAAAGAACGTTAAATTCTACTTAAAAGATGTAGGTACTCTTGTTTAAGTCGCCTAACTTTATCGGTTTCTGAGTTATTTGTATTGAAAAGTTTCAAAGTATTTTGTGGTGATCTTTTATTCTCAAAAGATGAAAATAACAATAACAATAATTATTGATAATAGTAATAATAACAAACCGTAAATCAAATGCTGGAAGTGTCCACCACCTACCTCAACACATTTTATTATACACTCTTAAATGTCTCTGGATATTAAACAAAATGTCCCTATTTAAATGCATTCGCGGTTACTTGTATTTTCTGCCGCAACTCCTCAACAGAATTAATTTCTTCACGATACACCACATCCTTCAAGTTTGACCACACTGAGGAGTCCAGAGGGTTTAAGTCTGGACTTCTTGGTGGCCAACTAAATTCATTCCTACGGCCAATTCACCAATGAGGAAAATGTTCATTTAAATACTGGCGTACTGGCAAGGCAAAATGTGGTGGTGCTCCGTCGTGCATAAACCACATACTCTCTTTTAAAGCGAGTGGTACATCATCTTGAAGCTCGTTTAAATTATGTTGAAGAAAATTTAAATAATGAGGTCCAGTTAGATTGGGTGGCAATTCAAAAGGTCCTATGAAAAAAAAAGCAGAAATTAAATTACACCAAATATTCACCTTGAACTCATGCTGAAAATGTCTTTCTTTTACAGCATGCGGAATCTCACAAATGATTGTTCTTCCAATTGAAAACTCCTCGTCTAGTAAATGTCGCCTCATCAGTAAATAAAATCTTATTGAGGAAATCTGGGTTTTCCGTTTGCATATTTTGTATAAACTGAGCAAATTGTAGGCGAACTGGTAAATCTTCAGGCAATAACTGCTGAACCGGAGTATAATGACATGGATGGAGCATTTCTTTTTTCAAAATTCTACAAACGGACGATTGGCTTACCCCCGTTGCCGCACTTAACCGACGAGTACGAGTAGTAAAATTTTCTCTTTTTCATCGACTGTGACAGATTTTGGAGTACCATGGTTACTTTTTGGTCGAAAAGATCCAGATCCGCCTAAGCGATTGTAAAGATTTCTGAATAGTTTATAATTAGGTAATCTATTTGGGTACAATTGCACATATCTTCGGGCTGCCGCATGTTCATTAAAATTAGCCTGAGCAAAAACACAAATCATATCATGCACCTCACTGTTGGAAAAATTATTATGTCACGGCATTTTTTGATCACTAGCTAATAATTTGGCACGAATAATAAATCACACGCACGCAAGATACGTTAATATTTATTGACATGAAAATTTGAAATTTTACACAAGCCTACTTAGAAAATAAATAGCAATATTAGCGCCTGAAAACAAATTACCACAAAATTCATTGAAACCTTTAAATGCAAATAATTCAGAAACCGATTAAGTTAGGCGACCTAAACAAGAGTATATTTTTTATGTAGAATTTAACGTACTTTTAGATTTTTAGCTTTTTTAAAGCATAGCTCAATAGATAAAAAAAATATGTTCTGATTTACCTAAATAATATGGTGAAACTAGCGCCCTCTAGGAGCAACGTCAAAATAATCTTCAAATTCGTAATTCTCACACCAAAAATCCCAACACTACCAAGTTTCACAATCATGTTATCAAAACTTACTCAGTTATTGAGAAATTTCAGAATAAAATTGAAATTTTGAACACCCTGTAATTCTTAAATCAGCGACATTCGTATAAGGCATGATGAGCTCAAACATAATATTTTGATGTCTAGTATCTCCAGTTAAGTGTTGACCTATTCTTTTTTACTCACCCTGTATATGTACATATTTCTATTCAATAGAGGACTAAAAAGAATAAACAAAGAAAATAAACTGTTATTTTCAGAATTTTCATTAACAAAATAAAAATAAAAACTAATTAACTAATTTAAAAACTGAACCATATTTATATACTTACCTACTTATATTTTTCTTAAATCAATATTAATTTCACTAATTAGTAACTACATACAGAGTCAACATTTGCCCACGGTTGAAACCAAGTAGAATGAAAAACGTAAAAACATTTTTATTTTACTAATAAAAGTCAATGTCGACAAAGTATTTTGCTAGTTTTTAAAATAGGACGACTTGTGGATAATTTTAGGTTTGAGTGAACAGGAAAAAAAAAATGTAAAAATGATGTAAGTGTAAATTGTTATTGTCTTTAACAAAACAGAACATGTTATGGAAAATTGTTTAGAATAAAAGGTTATGTGATAAATTCAATTTCGGTCTATTTTGACTGTTTCAAAATAAAAAAATTAAATCATTGGGTAAAATAAAAATTAGTTAAAACATTCAAAGAAGCTTGTATGTGACAATAATTATTCAACTGTGCAACATAAGGTAATCTCCATTATCGTGAGAAGATAATTTTAAAAAATCAGAAATTCCAAAAATATTATCTAAAAGATTGAACCGACTGTGGGTTTAAAATATCCCCCGAGCGGGAAAAAAAATTGCTGAGCATAATAAAAAAAACAGATGTGGTTTTTACCATTCCACCCATCGAGTTATTATTTTTTATTTTAAAATAATTGAAATATACACATAAATTGAAATTCTGACGTAAATACCCTTTAATTCTAACAATTTTCCTAAATAAAATTTTTTCGCCTCGATAAAAATAAGATGTAGGTAATAAAAAAAATAAATGAAATGCCCTCTAATAATTAATTTTTCATGCATTTTAATATGTTTATAGACGGTTTAGGTTTATCAATTTATTTTTTTTATTTCATAACAATCAATGTATAGGCCTACACTGATTATTCAAATTGAAATTTTGACGTAGGTTAACTTTCAATGCTAAATAACTTTTCTTAACATTTTTTGTTATATTAAAAATGGCGACAGTTTCTTGTTCTTCTTTTCCAGTGGTTGGTTCTGATAAGTTCCATGGCACCGTGGCCTTATTAGGCTTATTGTGCGTTCCACTAATTAGTCCTATTCGGCAAGTAGTTTTGTCCTTTTATCAAAGTCCAAAAGCTTCCTTGCTGACACTTCTCTCAACTCCTTGGGTTCCAAATAGGGTGTCCCCAGGAGCGTCTTTCTACTACGTGCAAATCCCGGGCAGTCGCCTAGGATATGCAGAGAAGTTTCATCCGCCGAGTCATATCCTCGGCGGACCGGACTGTCTACAGGCTTTAGCTTATGTAGATTATGCGAAATGAGTGACCCGTTATGAGTTCCGTCACTCTTCTGAGCCGAATTTTATTCACGCTCTGTAATTCATTTGCTTTTTCCGCCAAAGGATATACCATGAAGTACTGGCTAAGTCCTGGCCTTGAAGTCCAATATTTCTTACGATCTATCTCAGTCCATTTGCCCAGAGCCCTTCTGACCACACTGGCAGATGTACCGCAGAAGGGCTCTGGATCCCTTCCTAGCAAGTTCATCAGCTTTCTCGTTCCTACAAATGCTCTTGTGTCCTGACACCCCACACAGTCTCATGGTATTATTGGTGGAGAATTCAATCAGCATTTGTAAACAATCACACACAAGTTTTGAACTTATCTTGTGTGTATCTAAAGCTTTAATTGTAGCTTGACTATCAGAGAATATATTATACTCGTATATGAGTTTGTGTTTATAACCTCTACGTATATTCTCTGCTAAGCACGCCACTATCGCGAAAATTTCTGCTTGGAATACAGTAGGGTAGGGAACCTCCCCAGACTATAGCTGGATCTGAGTCCATATATTCCTACACTCGTTCCTCTATCCATTTTGGAGCCGTCCGTAAACCATACCTAGGCTCCATCTTTCCATGGTATCAGACTTTTCTTCCCATTTGCTTTGATCCTCTATTCGAGTCTCAAATGGCTTCTGGAAGTGAAACCTTGGAACCATCTTGTTAGATACCATTCCAAGAGTTGATTCCGACATATGTGTCCATATTGCTGGAATAGGGACTGCCCCTCCAGTCATTATTGTTCCTGAGTCGGTATGCTACTACCATGCTTTTGTTTCCACCACTATATGCAGCGGTGGTAGATTTGGCATGACTTCTAGCGCAGCTGTCGGGGTCGATGTCATCGCCCCCGTTATACCCAAACAATCCAGTTTCTGGATTCTGTTTAGTTTTTCCCTCGCTGTGGTCTGTTGTGTTTACTCTCAAATAATTTTCCCGTTTCTTCATTTCCTGAA